TAATTAAATATTTGAATATTGAAGGTACTTATTTTGAAGGTCATCTTTGTATAAATTTGCCATCGCTGAATTGACAAGAATCATGTTTATATTTACATAATGGAGGGTAAATGAGTAGAGTATTTGATATGATTCATAATTTTCCTAAAAGCTTTTCTGGAATTTTAAACTATTTTCTTTGATAAAAAAAAAATAGAGGATGAGACATGAACTCATTATAAGAATAATAAGTTTGGGGATTTGGTAAAATGGAGAGAAAGTTTGAGCAGGCTGCATAGGAATTCAGTGACTGCTCCTAATCCATTCCAGAGTCCAGCAGCTTTTTTTCTCATATCGCCTGCTGTTTAGGATTATATTCATCACGGCTGCCTTTAGTTACAGGTGGGGACATTATTTTGGAAACCTGACTTTGTATTGTCTTTGTAACCTAGATCTATGGCCCGTGACATTTTAGCTATTTAATAACTCTACTGCTCCAGCAAAGCCTCCCAGAGGAGCACTTGGGCTCCCAGCGTCCACCCACCTAAGCTCTCCATAGGAGCAATGAAAAGCTACAGGTGCGAGAAATCTGAGGATTCCTTCTCCGAGGGGTCTCTCTTCAGTCAGGTCTGCTTTTTTTCTCAAGAGAGATTTGAAGCTCTGTGGAGTAGTTAATCTTAGAAACTCAGAAATGGCAGATTAACCTCCAAAGATTAAGTGATTATCTAAACATGTTAATTCCACGAGAATGCTTATTTATTACCTCCTAGCCTCCTGATGGACGAAAATCCGCCCTGCAGACTTCACGTAGATTTTTCATCAGATGAGAACAAAAGTAAGAAAAGCCCTTATCTTTTCCTCCAAATGAACAACATAAAGACAGCACAGTGCTGTGTCACTTACAAAAGGTGTGAAGGAAATTCTGAAGTTCTGCAGCTTGCTCATCTGGTGTGACATTTTGCGTTCGAAAGAATGTTGTTTCTGCTTTAGCTCATTGTAAAAATAGGATGCCAGTGTGTGTCGAAATGAACACATCTTTCTCAGCCATGCTCCCCCACAGACATTTAGGATCACTAAGTCGCTAGAAAATCCTACTGATTCATGAAACACTTACTGTACGCCTTCTTTCCCCCCGCCCCCTGTTATGCCATTTATTTGCTAGGCATTTTGATTGGTTCTGGAGACAAACTAATTAAGAATCAAGACTGACTTCAGAAACTCACGGTTTCCTAGGGAGACCAACACGGGGCCCAGTGCCACGGGGAAGCAGAGGTCTCAGAAGAGCCCCACACTGGAGTCTACCTGGACCTAAGCAGGGGCCCTGGCCCCTTGACTTCACTCATCCCCTGCCAGCATCGCTGACAGGTCCCCGCCCCAGGAGTGCAAATCAGAGCAGCAGGTCTTTGGGGGGTCAGCTCCATTTTATCAGGTGTATAAATGGTGCTAGCAGAAGGGGGGACACTTTTGACCTCTCTCCATTTTAAAAACTGTGACCCTGACAGGAAGTGGGGGATTAAGAAGGAAGACCCCAAGTTACAGGACAGCCACTGGCTTTCAGGGAGCGGGGGTCGCTTCCCTCTCACCTCCCCGCAGTCCCAGCACTTGACCTGGAGTGTGTTTCCTCGAGTGCACGTTTTGTTGTCATCACTGCGCTCTGTCCGCTCCCCTGCCTCATTCTGTATTTCAGACCGTCCCCGAGTCGCCAGCCCCCCTTCCCAGGAGGCACTGGTTTCGGTTTCCCTCTGCCAGAAACCGCAGAGCTGTGCCCCAGCCCTTGCTGCTCCCTGGGCTCCAGGTCCGCCTGGAGGGGGAGAGGACTCGGGAGGGAGCCCAGACCAGGTGCCACCCCAAGGGTTGAGCTCCCCGGGACCTCAGCGCCAAGAGGAGCCAAACTGCAGCTCGTTCACCTGTACCCTCCTACCACATTCCAGCACACCTAGGACCCTCTGGACCACACCGCACAGTGTTCTTTTAGAGACCGGTAACCATAACAAACACTGAAGAGGGGTGGGAGGGAGAGGGAGGGGGCGGTGCAATGTGATGGACATCACTATCCAAAGTACATGTGTGGAGACTCGGGTGTCAACAGACTTTATATATAAACAGGTATGAAAAACTGTGGTATATATGTGTAATAAGAATGGTAATGCAAAAAAAAAATAGATGTATAAAGGCATGTATTGGCACGAACATACTCTATATACAAAGATATGAAAGATGGTACTCTACATGTGTAATAAGAACTGTAATGCATTCCACTGTTGTGTATTCAAAAAAAAAAAAAGTCAGTGAAACTAAAAAAAACTAAAAAAAAAACAATAACAAACACTGGCAGATGAACAATATACACTATTGACCCATAAGATGCTTTAAATAACAGAGGAATTTAAAAGTTTAAAAAGCAAGTGTGTCTCTTGGAATGGCAGGAATATTTAAGCGTGAAACAGCCTGACTTAACAACAGTAACTAAATGCTTGTCCTTTTGCAGACAATATTTTGACATGATTTTCTATTGCCGTTTTAAAATTCTTAGTTTTTTCTATACTAATAAGCAAAGAAGTACACTTTCCTAAGTTGTCAAGCTACATGTATATGTCTTGTACAATCAGAGAAATGAAAAGTTGTGTTTCATTTGTGTACAATGAGTTGAAATGCATTCTGCTGTCATGTATAACAAATTAGAAAAAATTTAAAAAAACCCAAAAAACAACTAGATGTAACTCACTGTGTGCAGTGGTGCACTCCTGTAATCCCAGACACTTGGGAGTCTGAGTCTGAGTTACTCCTTTGAGGGTGCTGTTTTTCTGCCAGGATTACAAATTCAAGTCCAGCCTGGGCAACTTAGAGAGCCCCTGTATCAAAATAAAATTTTAAAAAAGGGCTGGGAATGTAGCTCAGTGGTAGAGCATGAGGTCTTGGGTTCACTTCCCAGTACCTCCCCCCCCCAAATTAAGAAACAATCAACTATACATGATAACTATGTATCATTCTCCAGGATAAGGTAATAAAGGCACGAATTAAGCTACAGTCCCAGAGATTTTCATGAATATCTAAGCTTGTGATTATTGTATATGGGGTGATTTCTCAAGGGTCCTGGTTTTCTTATGAGTGATACTTTCATTGTTTCAGGTGACCTGATAACCTTTGCTATCCAAATCTTTGCAATCTGACTTCTTGCCATTTAAACTAAGAGGCTCAATCAATCTAGGTACTTTTTTTTTTTTGAGACATTCTAATATCTCTCCATATCCAAACTCTCATTCCTGTCTCTCTGAAACCGAGGCGCCATCTGCTTTGGAAAGTGTTTCACAATCTGAGACTGAAGATTTCCAGACCTAAATGGAACTTAGCAATGAAAGAATCGCTAAGTCTCTGTTTAGGGCCATGCTTGTGTTCTCTCTTCAGCCTCCTTCCTACAGAAGCCTGGCAACTCTTTCATGGAAAGCTCAATTGTCTGCGTGAAGCTGAGCACCTTGTCTGTTTCCTCTCTGACCTTTGTTTCCCTCTGGGTAGGACAGAGATCCTAACTTGATGAAAGTGCGTGAGGGTGCTCAGTGCTCCTGACTGGCCTCCCTCCTACTGAGGGCTCCTCTCTACCTCTCCAGCCCCACACCCCTACTTCTCCACCCTGCTGCAAGCTCGCTCCCTCCTGGAGAAGACTAAAACCTCCTCCAGACTGCATCCCCCAAGTCATGTCCCTTGGCCGACTCATTGGTCTTGGCAAATAGGAGGCACCAATGAAGGGTTGGGGCAGGTAAGAAGTGGGAGTTTGTGTACTAATTCTTCAGGAATTGTCTCCTCCCTCCGTCCAAGTTGAGGCTTCACAGTGACCATGCATTCCCGGCTCCTAGCAGGGCCCTCTCCAGGGAGAGAGCTCTGGTGGCATCCCCTCTGGCCTAGGAGTCCTAAGGGCAGTCAACTGTACCTGGTCCTGGAGGGTCCCACTGATTCTTTGTTCCTTTAACTCTACTCACATCTTTAAACACAGTCCTTCTTTTGCCCTCTCTTGAGTTACTCCTTAGAGGGTGCTATCTGCTTTCTGCCAGGGCCTTCGCTGGTATCCTCTTCCAGGGCTACAGATGGTGGCATTTGTTCCCTGATGTATTTTGCTGCCTTAAGAGATGGTGTCTCACTGCAGCAGTCGAATGACTTAGCCAGAAGACTCCACTCCCTTGGAATCTGGCTTAAACATTTTGTTTATGTGGTGAAAATAAGGACAACGTCATTTTTTTGAAAAAAGGATTTCTTTTTTAGCTTTTAGCTAAATATTCATTTCCATTCCCCCCCTCCACCTAAAAAATAGAAGAAGAAGAAGATGCTCTGGCTTGTATTTATGAGGGAGTCAGGCATGCCGTTCCCCTTTCAAAGCTGTTCACATGGAAAGGAAACTGGCCTTGACATTTACACAGTCCAGGAGGATTTCAAATAGAATTTGGACAGATTGGGAAGTTACCATCTTGGAGTATATGGGGAAAGCAATCCTGGTGGAAAGATGTGGTGACATATATGAGACAATCCATAGATGTTAGGAATGTGCAGCTTTATATGTGCCTCTTCACTTCACAGTCCAATGGGATTGCCAAAAATATGCATTTGTTCTCTGCAATATCACATGAGAAGACCGGCCAATTAAAGCAGTCCGCACTAAAGACAAGGAGTATAATTTCTGGGTATATTTACGATTGCTTAATGTCAACAAAGGGGTCTTTTAAACACAGCCCATTCCTTATCCTGCACTCACAGATCATGCTAAACACATCCAAATGCACAAACCATAAAAGAGGGAAGAGCCAGTATCGGCACCAAGCTCTTTGGTTTCTGCATCTGGCCAGTGTCCACTGGGAAAAATGTAAGTCAGAGTTTACCACATGGATTACAAATGTGCTGAATTGCAAGAATGATTATTAAATGAAAATATCCATAGCACCTGCAGCTTGTCCTAGGAAATTCCCCCCAGGGTATTGTGGGTGCTTTTTTAAATTTCTTTTTTTTTCTTCTTCTTCTTCTTCTTTTTTTTTTAGGGAGAAAAAAAAAGTAAGACAGAGCAAGATGCAAATGGCAACTCCAGCTGCTTGTAGTAGCGACTCCACTAATGTTCCTGAAAGGTTCGCAGAGTCAATTCAATCAATCTAAGCTGCTTCTATTCTCAGCATGAGCATGGTGAGGGAGGGGCTGGGGGATATCATTAGCTTTCTTCCTTTGAGGTTTGGATGATCAAGACAATGAAAATAATAGTAATGTAAGTGGAAAGTGCTTTAAAAAAAAAAAACACAAAGCACATCAGGAAGCATGAGGCTAGCTGTGTGCTCTGCCCAGAGAGGTGTTTATCCTTTTGGAAGGGCAGGCATCTTCTGGAAACCGAAACTGAACGTGTGTGGATTTTGTTGATTTAATAGATGATTGTGAATGCACTTCTAGAACACTCTGCACATGTGTACTATTTGGCTGTGTTTCAACTAGCTTCTGTGTGTGTTGTTCATGCACATGTGAAAATAAATATGGTGATTAGGAGAAGTCCAGGGAGGAGGTTAACTTTTGAAATCAGAAATCAGAATACCCAGAGTCGAGCTGCCGCCCAACCCCTGTAAGTACTTGGGCAAAACGCCTGATCTTTCTGAGCCTCAGTTTCCTCATGTATAAAATAGGAATGATGTAGAGCCCATCAATACAAGGCTCAGGTGAGGTGGGTCACTTGTGTGGAAATGCTTTACGTTTTGGAAATTGCTCACTAAATACTGGTTGTTATTGTTAGAAAGAAATGTCCACTATAAGGTCCTTGCTTAGCATCTGGGCGGCCATCTTAAATAGCAGCCAGCATTTTAAGGAAAAAGTTTCGCTTTTCCATGAAAGGGTGTTTCTGAGAAAGGCTCCCCACTCCCTCACACCAACCCAACCTCTAACTGTCCCCATTAGGACCAGCCTGGCTCTGATTCCTGAGCCTGCCCCATAAAAGTCCCAGCCTGTCTTGCCTCTCTCTGCTATAGAGAGATGGCCTTTGTCAGCTATGACCAATAAACTCTCGTGTGGATCTCTGCCTGGTCTCCATCTTTCATTTCTTGCTTACCTGTCTCTCATTCCTCACTTTTCCTTCATCCACTGCCCAAATTCTCACACATACTGATGCCTGTAGCAAGTATGTCAGCATCAATATGACACACATACCAGGAAACTAGAATCTGACCCCCACACTTCACATTTCAGGTAACATCTTTTTGGTTCTCAATTAGTAAAGAGAGTGTATAAATGTTAGATTCTTTACAGGGCTGGAGAATCAAAGGTAAATTGGTATACCATGGGCATTGTTAAAGAATAAAAAAAGAATCATTCAGTGATACCTATGAAAGCAAAGTAAGGAAGGCTTTATTCAGGGCCCTCTGGATAGGTACAGGGGCTCCAGCAATGGGAGTTTATAGTAGCAGAGAGAGACTTGGTTCAACTATGAATATAGCAAGGGCAAATGGGAACCAATAGCCAAGGGTCAGAGGATGGAAAACTACTAAGAGGAAACATTAAGAATGAATCACCTTTGCATTACTATTACAAAATACCAGAGGCAGGTTACTTGCAAAGGAAAAGAGGTTTATGTAGCTCACAGTTTTGGAGGCTCTATGGCCTGGGGCTGACCTCTGTTCAGCTCTAGCCAGTCTCCCACAACCGCATCACCTTGTGGTGGATGGTTATGGCAGGAGCATTTGCAGAGCAAGAGATCACACCTTGTTACCAAGCAGAGAGAGCTTGGTGAGGTGGGTGGGGCAGGCTCGGTTTTTATAGCTAACTACCCTCTCTGAGACCTAGGGAGGGGGTCACAAGAACTACCTTAACCTCAGTTGACCAAGGACCTTTTACTTCTGCCTCTTAAAGGCTCCACATTATCTCCACAGCCACCGGGGGCCAAGCCTCCAACATATGAAACTTTGGGGGACAGAACTTAGCGAGAGATAAAGAGGATTCTGGTGGGACTGACCTAATAGGATTCTGCTAAAGAGAGGCCAGAATGGTCAGGCTTCACCTGGGGGGTGATGGAGGAGGCAGAACTTGATCAGATACGAAGAGCAAGGACAGCTCATGGAGAGGGAGGGCTGTTCCTGCTAAACGGATTCAGCAGGCACCTTTACTAAACGAGATATTTACAAGGAAGTGCCCAGGAGAAGTTCAGAAGCCCTCCCCAAGTGCGGTCCAAAACAGTATTTGTCAGCTTGAAGCGTTTTTTTTTTTTTCCCCCCCTAAGTTGAGCTGTCACAACACAAATGTGGCAGATTCATTAAAGGGCTGGTGGAAGAAGACATTTTGTCCCTTTTCCCACCTCCTGCCCTGAACTGCAAACTTTTGAGGGTTATGGGGTTCTCTGGGCCCCTGGGTTTTAGTGTGTCTGTGTAACTGGTAGAAAGAAGGTTGAAATGAGCCTAAGAAAAGCTGAACTCACATTATGGAAGGACCTAGAGATGTGAGAGGAGAGAGAACTAGGGGAAAAAAAAATGAAGGCCCCTGAGAGTTGAGTTTTAGGAGAGGTCTAGGCAGTTCTGAGACAGAAAAGGGACTTGGTTAAGACTTACCATGTTCTGATGAGTGAGACTGGATAAGATAATGGTTGAAAGCAAATCATGGATCTTTTTTTTTTCTGTATGCTGTGCATTGATTTGCCTTTTGTCATTTTCTCAGGCTTCAATAAGTAATTGAATTTTTTTTTTTTTTTGGAGATCTCTTCTGAATGTTATTGTGAGTGGAGCTGGAATCTTAGGGAGCTTATCTTTCTATGGGTGACATAAAGATAGTTTAAAAAAATAACCAACATAAGAATTTTTACATATATTTTAATGTTAAACAGTTAACAAGTTATGTTTCCAATTATGGCATATTTTGCCAAGAATATAGGTACTGCAGTGAGAAAAAGCAAAATGCATAAGACATGTAGGAATCTTTTCTTATCTCCATGGCAAAATGTTGAATGGCAGAGCTGAGAAAAAAAGCCAAAAGCTCAGGCTTATGGAGAAGCTCCCCACCAAAGTACAGACTCTCTGCACAAAGTACCAGATGGCGTTCCTGCTTCCCTAAACCTTTAACTTCCCAAAGGGAATCCTAGATCCATGGACTAATTCCAAGGACAGGAATCTTAACATGAGCTATTCCTACCCTGTCATTCAGGCAGAGAACAGGAAGAACTGACACCAAATCAAACAACTAGCTACTCGCATCTGAACTCACAGTCCAGTGTCCTTACCAAGGGAGGTGATACACCAAACCACTTCCAGACTTTCTGTTTTCTTCTCTGGCCCTCCACCCCACAGTGTCGGGTAGCAAGCTGAAGGTAGGCAGGAAGCAGTCAGCTACAGATGCAGGATGGGGGCCTCCCACTGGGAAGGCTTTAGCCACTTGAGGAAGGCATCTGAAGGAAATGACCATGACTGTCTATCATGCACAAGGCTGAAAAGTATGTTCCTAACTCCCTGGCCCTTAAACTGGAAAATTGAGATTTTACACACGTACCATTCCCCTTGAACCTGATATGCACACTCAGTTGTAGACAGGAAGTACACATAAGGCTCTTCCAATGACTTCATGTAACTATACATAGGATTCCATTTTTCTTTTTATTTATAACAGGCTGGCAAAGTCCTGAGTTAACATGAGAGTAATATTGCTGAAAAACCTTAGTTTGAAATTCTTAGACGGTAAGAAATCCATTTCAAATCTTCCTATTTTAACAAAATATTTTTTTAGACCTATTGACAAGAATTTCACTCATGGGATTAAAAAGAAGTCCTATACCTCATGACTATAACGAAACTGGAAACATCGAGCAAACGTACCGCTCTTATATTTTTGTTCTTTCACTTCAAGTTGTAATCACCCATCTCTGAGTTATGAGCAAATCCAAATGAAAACTGTGGGAAGAAAACACATGGTTCTGTTCAAGGTCTGAGTGTTTGGATATTGATAGGAATTAGAGATCCATAGGGTCACAAGAAGTCATGGAGACTTATTTTGCATTATTGCCACTTATTCTACACCTCTCCCTATTCTATGTGCCTCTTTAATCATCTCAGGTCCCCAGGAGTTTCCTCTGACTTTTAAAAGGGGGTGAGAGACTGGCCCCATCATAGAGGACTCGGCATAGCATTTAATAATCGTCACAGAAAAATACATAACTATTTTTCTTATGTCTCACGTAATTTCTAAATATAGACTTACACTTCTGGCAATGATGCAGTAGCTTGTGGTAGACTCACACTCCTGCCAAGAACAACTAGAAGGTTAATTTTTACAGTGCCTAAAGGCATGAGGGAGTTGTGGACACAACTAGGACTCGAGGGGCCAGGCACTGGAAGAGGGGAAGCTAAGTAAGGTGAGAACACTGCTATTTTATTCAGGAAATTTGGCAATTTTTTTAGTATCAGATGAGAGACTGAGAAACTAGTCAAAGGACCATTTCTACTGTGGAGAGAAGTGGTAGAATTTTAGAATATGTTAGGGTATAAGGAGAAAATATTAGAATTAGGGACTTTCAAGGAGGCTAAGATTTGATGGCCAAGATCCTGGAGATAAGTAAGGTACAGAGAAATGAGCCTGGTATTTGGCACCAATTTTCTTTTCTGGGCATTTAACAATTAAGTTTTTTAGGGAAAGAAGTTTGAGAAGCTAAACAGAAACAGATGAAAATCAGAGCAGAGTTTTGGGGAGTCACATGATACCAAGCAATGAAAAATGGAGTTTAGAACTTGGGAAAAAAGCCATTGCACACACTTTGAGCTCTTAGTTGGGAACTACTGAAGGATTATACTGTGCAAGTGGAGGCCAAATGGGGGTAGACCAAAACTCCCAATAATGGAAATTAATCTCAATCAGTTCAATCTATGATTGGATTGAGATAATCTGTCTCCTCCTACCTTCAGAAGAGAGGCTGAATCCTTTCGAGAGAATAGTATATCATCCAAAACAATGTATTTTTTCATACACAATGGCTGATATTCAATTTAATAAGATCAATTATACTGAGAAAAAGCTCAGTAATAAATGGATAAAAGAAACAGGTGACTTGGATATTCAAATGATTGGATATGGATTTTAAAATAATTGTGGTTAATTCAAGAGAATAAATGGAAATAGGGAAAATTTCATTATAGAACTAGAATTTATATAACAAAGTAGAAATTCTAGGATGAAAAGTTCTAATATCCAATAATAAAAAAATGATAGATGACATTAGCAGCAGATTAGAAAGGGCTAAAGATGAGCTCAGTAAACTGGAAGATATATTAAGAGAAAATACCCTTGGTAAAAAATAGAGACAAAAAAAAAACAAAGATAAGAATTATAGAAAAGAATATAGAAGACATAGAAGAGATGATGAAAAAAATCTAACAAAGTGTCTTTAAATCTCTGCAATGTTGACATTTCAAGTAAAATAATTATTTGTTTTAGGCAAATTTTGCACTGGGGAATGAAACCGTCCCAAGTTGAGAGTCTCTAGTCTATCTCAAATATGATGTTAGAAGGATAGTAGAGGCAAATGAAATGCTCAAAGCAATTGACTGAGAATTGATTCAAGTCACACTACAAGATCAACACTTACACATATCACAGATAAACTTTCCAAACACTAAGGAGAAAAATTATAAAGGTGGCCAGAGGATAAAAGGCATATTACCTTGAAAGAACAACTTTAATACTAAAATTTTACTTCTCAACAGAAATGAAGGAAGCTTGTGACAATGGAAGAATATTTTTAAAGTCTCGAAGCAAAATAAATCCAACTCAAAATTCTATAGTTAGCAAAAACATCATTCAAACATGAAAAAGAAATAGAACAGTTTCTGACAAAAGCCAAGAGAACTCATTCCCAGCCATCCTGACATTCAGGAAATATTAAAGGGAATCCCACATGAAGAAACAAAAAATGAAAGAAAAAGTGATGAACAATGGAAAGGTTAAATATTTAGATTGACCTAAAAGAATGTAGACACTGAAAAACAATAGCAATGATGTCTCATTAGGTTTAAAGCATATGGAAAAATAAAACATATGGTAGCCACAACACAAAGGAGGGGAGAAATTGTGCAGAAAAGAACCAACAGAAGGTCTAAAAGGGCTAACATTAGAAAGGTCTGGTTGCAAGATTGGCTGTGCTTCTGGGAACTTATATGTGAGAAAGATTCTCATCATTCCCTGAACTATTAAGAGTGGTTCACTGAGTCAGAACTATTTGTGGAAATGATGGATTATGCTCAACATTTGCTTTCCTTCTGGAAGTCTGAAATTTTGGTACAAACTAGATAGAAGATGTCTGTATAGCCAATATGCAATAAAAGTATGTTGAGTGGTAACCTCACATGAAGTCTCTAATGAGCTTCCCTGGTAGATGAGCATTTCACATTATTTTCACAACTTGTTGCTGGAGATATTAGACACTTACTGTTTGATCTCACTAGAAGAGGAATTTTTCTGTATCTTCTGATCTCTGCCACATGTACCTTTATTTTATTTTTATATCCTTTCACCATAATCAGTTGTATCTATAAACTGAGTCTTGTGAATCCTAGTGAATTAT